ATTGTGTAACAAATTACCAGATTATCACTAAAGTAGGTTGTAAATAATCTCTAATAGGTCAAAAAAGACCATAGACCCTTTGCCCAACCCCTAGGCGGCACCACTGTAATGTATAGTAGTGCTGCCAGCTACGACTATGTTTGAAATTCAAAAATCGATGGGCTGCTGGTTTAGGCATGCATCTTGAATCTCACGGCCTTTACGTATAGAACCGTATATAAGAGGGGCGAGAGGTGTTTACACCCCGGACGCAATTCCTAGGAGGGTGAAAAAATAAAAAATTTACATTTTACTTTAAAAATATACTACAATCAGTATATTTTATTTACAAAAAACTCAACGTCCTTTATAATAATCGAAGCAGAAAATAATATCTAATAATTATAATGTTTTTAAATTAAAAATACATTTTGAAGTTTCGCCATGGTCGCAATATTTGGCTGTTCCCCCCCCCCTTCCCCCTTACTGCGTAATGTTCTGGTTCTATGATTACTAAGCACATGATACGAGGTATTTGTATATTTTATTTATAAAATATAAACGGTGCACAGCTACTTTTAAGTACGTTGGGAAATATTCGGATCTATTGATTAGCGATGAGTTGAAAATTCCAGAGACAGTGGATCGCGGTCAACCTATGCCAACAAATAAATACTAATAAATAAAAACTATCAATAACTAATAAATAATAATAAATACTACATAAATACTATAGTTCTATAGAAGCATAATAAATATCTCGATTTTATTTAATGAAATTTTTTATTTTATAAATTTAAATATTATAATGTATGATATTAATAACTATTTGTTCTTATATTATAATTATTATTCTTATTATTGATATATATAAATTATATTATATACATATTATATGAAAAAAAAAACTGTTATTGAAATTTATTTCCGTAATAAAAAAATTATTATTATTATTATTAATGTGTCCCTTTCAACGAATTCAGAAAAGTCGTGACTACTTTCTCCGACTCCGTAAACGGAGCCGCAATATCCGTATCCACCCTACAGGCAATCTAAATCGACATCCCCTTCGCGGTTTCGGCACAGTTACATGGGGTTCGAAGATTTAATGACCAATATTGCAGAACGAGAGTCATTATTCGTTCGCTATAAATACATTGCATGGAACTGTTTTGAATTATTTTTTTCAAACTTAAATCAAAAAAAATAAACCACCGAATTTATCGGCCATAATATAATTTTAAACACTTGGGCAGCTCAATCAACCAAGACGGCAGATGCATCATGGGGATAAGAATCTTATCATAAGATCCAGAATCGCACATGCGAAGTCAGCTTTCATGAACGTGAAAGCATTTTTATGGCATGGGTATAAAGGTGAGCAAACCTCGAAAGCTTTGAAATACGGTGTTGGACGAGGATGCTACGAATGAGTTGAGCAGAGCGCCGTACCAACGAGAGCAAACCCAGTGAAAGTGATTGAACGCAGAGAGATGCTGAAAACCATCAAAGCAAGACGATGGAACACGATTGGTCAAATATCGAGGCGCGAAAACTGTATAGTTTATGGAATAATAGAAGAAAAAATTGAAGGTAAGAGGGACCAATGACTTCATTCGTCGATCGAATGATCTCCGATGCTACTATGTCCATATAGGCAGTCCCAGAATTTGACTTCGGACGCAGCGCATTTAATTCACTTTATATCTATAAACATTATTCAAATACATGCATTTTCATACCTTACGCGCCCATGCATACAAACTTCATTCCATTTTCCTACTAAGAATTTCATTTAATAATTTAATCAATTTAATTAATTTTCATTTTATAAAAAAAATAATAATTTTATTTTATTTATTATTAACAGTTAACCTATTGAAAAAATATACATGATTAGTACGATTTAATATGTATTACATAACAGTTTGCTAACTTTTACAACCGTTTGTGAAATTTGGTTGCATCCTAACAAGCCCGAGAAAAAATTCAAACGATTTCTTTTAAGCCGTGGGCCCAGTGAACGTTTGCCTTCCATTTCTGGTACATTTCATTTTTCGCAAACTTCTCCGCCAGCAGTTGAAATATCTGTTGGAATAACATAGACGTAGTGCACGGCACTAACACAAAACGGTTCTTTATTTAATTAGTTGAATGAATTCCGGTGTGTAATGTGCGAGGATAACCAATAAAAAAAAAAAAATTAAAAAAAAAAAAAACGCGGTGGTTGACATTTCAGGTGCTGGACCCGTATAACCACCTATGACGGTCGAACTACACGGAACCAAAGAACAGGTCAGCTGGCATAGGCGCCGCCAGGAATTTTGTCGGGGAGGTGCATCAAGCATAGTCTGAATCGCTGATGTCTAAATAACGCTTAAATTATTTATGTAAAATGCGTAATATTTTCGTACGATAGTACAAAATTATTTTCCTTTTTTTTTCGACGGCTAGGAAGTAATGCATGTAACTACCGGTTGAATTCCGATTACGATAACGATAGCTTCTATCCTACATTTTTAAATAGTATCCTTTTTTTTTTTTTTTTATAAATCCAGGAGCGGGTTGCAAGACCGTTGTTGCGCGTCTCGCAAACGAACAAAACGCGCCTAAGCCACCAATCGCGAGTGATTAACGAACTCAAACGTTGTCCGTCAGATTTTCCGTTCGGATCCGAAGACCGGATGCACTTTAAAAACGTCTGCGTGCTACTGTTCCGTGATAGCTACTGTAGTAGCACATCGGCAGTTTACGGCGATGTCCTACGATGTCGAGAACAATGTAAAACGTATTCCGCGACGATTTCAAATCCTAAATTTCGATTTTTTCTACAGCGAAATTTATCCGTTTTCGGTACTTACTCTTTCACGCTTATACGCATTCACGAATATTGGTTTTTTTATTTTTTTATCAACATTGCAGTGTTCGAACCGTAAGCGCAGATAAGCGTGCGTTGGCGACTAGACGAAGGAAAATCGCGTCGTACCGGACACTTGTTTCCGCATTTTTTTCCACAAGTCATAAAACGGCGTGCGCGTTTCCGACACCTTTCAGGCGCAACAACGTCTCACAGCCCTGCCGCGCACGTGTATGCTTGTCCGCAACGTGTTGCGCGTGTCGGTCGCGGTGTCCGCCCAAAAGTGAATGCAAACATTAACAATCGGTTATCGTATTTTCGACAGGTCGCGTAACCGCTATCTGTTTCCGCGCGATCGGAAAACGTCTTCCGAACAAGACAACGGGGCCGAGCGATTTCACTGGACGTCGCGTGAGCCGTTTCCACTGGCACCTCTTACGGTACATAATTCGGTTCACGGTAGAACGTTCCGCACTGCGCTAAACGCACCACCGCAACCGGATACGCGGTTCTACCCCCCCCCTCGTGTATTAAATCTCCGTTACCGTTTTCCCATCGGTTAACGTGCGTGCACGTGGGGGTGCTGCATGACACGTACACACGTTTCTGCCGATTGTTTCTCCCCCCCACCACCACCAGAACAAGGACTTGGAAGGTGAACAAATAAATGATACGAGACACAAGGTTTTTTTTTTTTAAAGGAATAACAAAATGTATTATATATCATTCGCAATATTTTACATTTAAAAAAAAAAAAAAAATGTTCAATCGAAAAAAAAACAACTTCTATTAGCGAACATGTTTCTTCATACATAATCAGTATATATATATATATATATTTGTTTATATACATATATATATAATAAAGCTCTAAAAAAAATACAATATAATATTTTTTATTCATATTTTAATATTAATAAAATATATTTATATAATTTTAATATTATATAAACGTATCCTTCTACAAATTTATCAATTTTCTTTTTAATTATTTCTTATCACCTGGGTAACATTATATTCATCATTTTGTTAATAATCTCACGATGGTTTAAAAAAAAAAAAATAATAATAAATAAAGGAAGACTTAAGTAATGGAGCCCAGACAAGTTATTTTGGGAGGGGCATATTATATTTAAAAACGTATTCGCGAATGTAAAACAAAAATATAATAAATTAAATATAAATAAAACGAAATGTACGACGAAAGACACTTTCTCTACCTTGTCTGTAGAAGGTACGCTTCTGTAATTTAAAAGAAAAAAAATTAACTAATACAATATATAAGCCACCCGGACCGTGTTGTATTTTTAATTTTTTTGCGACACAAGTAGTACAATATTATTTTAATTTTGTTTATACACGTATGTCTCATTTTATATAAAATATGCTAAAATCGCTAGTAAATATCATTATCACACAGTTAAAAAAATTGGAAAAAGTCTGGAAGACTGTTCCTAGCTTAAATATAATCGCACTAAGAATTATCTACTAGCAGCGAAAAACACTTGAAAAAAAATCGTTAAACATCTCTTTTAGATATATATTTATATTTATATAGGAAAACGATTTCTACACGGCCGAATGAGAACTCGCATATGAATTATTCCCCCTCCCTTGTGCTCCTGATTCTACACGAAAAAACAAAAACAAAAAAAAAAAAAAAACAACTGTTAGAATTAATTTTTTTTTTGTACTATCACTACGATTAGCCTACCAATCGGTTACTATAAAATTGTCTACATTAATAATATATTGTCTATGTTGTTTAAATAATTATACATTCATATCTATACATATAATCTTATACTCTTTTCGTTTGTTAAAAAAAAAAAAAAGAGACCGATTGGATGAATTTAACACAGCCCTTGTTTGATTATCTACAGTTACACAAAAAAAAATATACATTTATATATTTATGTACACGTTACTTGCAATATATATACGAGTATATATAAACTTACAAACATTGTAACATATTAAAAAAAAATTACATTTCATACGTATTATAATATAATAATGAAAATAATAATAGATATACAAAGAGGAAAACGAAGAAAAAATGATTTGCGCGAATTGGTCGTTTTATTGCACATTAAAAAAAATAAAATAAAAGATAAAATTATTATTTTTTTTGAATTCATAAATAGTCTCATTGACTGTATAACATACATAATAAAATGATTGCGTCAAACAATAAAAAGGGATGTGAAATAAAATATACGTTTAATCAAAAAAAAATAGGAGAGGCAGCCAATAAGTGAAAACAAAAAGTAGATTCCGGTGTGTTAAGTTTGTCGACCGCCTTCTTGGTCGTCGGAGGACGACAACGACAACGATTATGATTCTAACGAAGCGATGAGGTTGCGGAACATGGCCGATTGCATCTCGCTGAACATGGACGCCTGTCCGCACGACAGGTTGGTGGGTGACGTGGACCCGGCCGCGGCTGCTGAGGACACGCTGCCGTAATCCTGCGACGAGGACGACGGCAACGGACAGCAGTCGGCGGCGGCCACCGCGTGGACGGCCGCAGCGGGAAGCAGCACGTCCTGGTGTTCGACGGCAGCCGGCACCTGGCCACCGTACAGGTCTAAGTTGTCGTCGCAGCACGTGTCCATTAGCGACCAACAGTCGGACGAACAGAGGTCGGCGGCGGTGACGACGGACGACGATGACGACGACGTGTTGTTGGTGGGTGTGCCGGTGACGACGGCCGCCGCGGC